GCTGCAGGAGAGTCCAAGCATGGGTTAAATTCAGTCTATTCGCCCAAGGACTGAGTTAATTTTCTTAGCCGTGCCTCCTCTCCTCATTGAGGACCAGTTCAAAAACGAAGGTGTTGGTCTGTAACGGATGTGTGCACAATGTGTCTTCCACTTATGTTCAAGTGTCTTAGCTCCACACCGCTGAAGCGATCCCGAAGAGAGGGAGTAAACCCCAGGGTGAGGTTGGACTCTCCCGCAGTGCCCAGAGAACAACCGTTCAGGTAAGCCAACGATCATTCTCCTCTGCGCTGCTTGGAGAGTCCAAGCATGGGTTAAATTCAGTCTATTCGCCCAAGGACTGAGTTAATTTTTTTAGCCGTGCCTCCTCTCCTCATTGAGGACCAGTTCAAAAACGAAGGTGTTGGTCTGTAACGGATGTGTGCACAATGTGTCTTCCACTTATGTTCAAGTGTCTTAGCTCCACACTGCTGAAGCGATCCCGAAGAGAGGGACTAAACCGGAGGTTGGGGTTGGACTCTCCCGCAGTGCCCAGAGAACCGTTCAGGTAAGCCAACGATCATTCTCCTCTGCGCTGCTTGGAGAGTCCAAGCATGGGACATACCCAAGCTATGCAGTCCCAGGGAGGGAAACAGAAACATCCAAGGTGCGTGGAGTCGGTCCCCTCCACTTGCGTTGTGGCATATCTTGAGAAGAACCTCGAGAGTTGAGAGTTGGCCAGACTGGAGAACAGATCGATCACTGGAAGCCCGAACCTGAGTGTGATACCTGAGTGTGATGTGGTGGAAGGTGGTCGGATGAAGACGCCATTCCATGTTGTCGATGGTCGTCCAACTCAGCCAGTCCGCCCTCACATTGAGAAAAACTTCTTGAAGCTGGGGCAAAGGACTAGGATCCCTAGATGGCTGTCCAGATGAAGTGGAGTGTCTTCTGGTCCTTTCAAAGGTCTTTTCTAGAGCCCTATGCCTGCGGGCCTCAGCCTTGGATATGGCTTTGTCACCTCTGGAGTTAGGGGTCCCCTTCCCTTTAGTGCCCTTGATCCCTTTTTCCACCTCAGGTGGATCTGGCCTACTGCATTTCAATGAGGGTTCTGGATTGTCCTCTGGCGCCCTCTTGCTTCTTTCAGCCATGATGTCTTCATCTGTAGTCTTCAAGGCTACAAAAGCAGTAGGCCTGGCATAGGCGCAAGTCGATAGAAGCTGCGTGCCACGCAGAAACGTCCTTTGGACGGGAATATGACCCGAGGGCCAAAGCTCTGCCATGCCGCTCGCTGTAAGTCTTCTTGGGGGAGGAAGCCTTGTCAGCGCCCCGAACTAAGGCTAAAAAACTCCCCCGCGGCTATCTGCTTGCTGAGAGTGAAAGTGAAAGTGTGGTAGCTGCAATGGCTGGAGCTCGAAAGCGCGCCAAAACTGCTTCCAAGTGGCTGCCGTGCTTCTTCGGGTGATAAGGGAGCTACCAGATGCAATCCAGAGCCTCCGCCAAGATCTCCGGAGATAAACAGTTAAATGACAGCTGGGGGGGGGAGAAAGCCTCCTGCCGCCCCCGCCGCCGGACAAGTGCCCCAATGAACCTCGGCTCTGTTAGCAAATGGAGAGCCAGGAATTTCCTCTCAGAAGTTTAATAGCAACTTCGTTTTAAAGAGTAATTTTTCTCCTGACTATGATGATGACAAAAATTAGAAAATCTCTATCTAACTAGGAGAGTTCCTGGCCTATTCACCCAAAAACTGAGGAACTCCCCAAAAACGCATCCGAACTGGGCTGGACTGAGTATTTGAACTGGTCCTCAATGAGGAGAGGAGGAGAGGCTAAGAAAATTAACTCAGTCCTTGGGCGAATAGACTGAATTTAACCCATGCTTGGACTCTCCAAGCAGTGCATAGGAGAATGGACTTGTTTTCTATTATTTCAACAAGTGTTCAGCTGAGTCCCTCTTCATTTGCTGGAAAGGGACTTACAAACATATTAGATAAACAAAAAACAAAAAAAAAACCCTGCCTTTGAATTTCAAAAGTTGTGTGTATTGCTATGCAGCATGCAACCATGTATTTGGAANTTCTCCTCTGCGCTGCTTGGAGAGTCCAAGCATGGGACATACCCAAGCTATGCAGTCCCAGGGAGGGAAACAGAAACATCCAAGGTGCGTGGAGTTGCTACAACCTGTTGTAACACCCTCCTCCCAAAGGCGGCCTCGGCTGCGGTGTAGGAGTCAATGTGATAGTGTTTAATGAATAACGTTGGAGAAGTCCATGTGGCTGCCCGACATATTTCCTCCACAGGAGCCTGCGTCGCCCATGTGGCCGTGGTGGCAGCACTCCTTGTAGAGTGTGCCGTTACCCTAGGTGGTACAGCTTTGCCCTGTTGTAGGTCCGCCGAACATCTAGCTTGTGCCAAGTGTGCTCTTTGGGATGCTGAGGATGAAGGCAGAAGTTAGGGAGCATTACTTCTTGAGTCCTGTGAAACAGAGAGTTCACTTTCGGCAGAAAGGCCGGATCTAACCGGAGAATGATACGGTCAGCATGAAATGTACACAAGTCTTCACGAACCAAGAGAGCTGCCAGCTCCGACACCCTCCTGGCTGATGTAATGGTTATGAGGAAAACAGTTTTCAAGGTCAGGTGCCGAAGACCAACGGACCGGATCGGCTCAAATGGAGTTTGTGTGAGAGCTCTGAGAATAAGGGGACGGTCCCATGTGGGAAACTTATGAACAGTAGGCGGATGTAAGTTGGAAGCACCATTTAGGAAGCTTTTCACCTGAGAATGCTGCCCCAAGGACACTGAAGAATGTCTAGTTAAGATGGTGGACAGGGCAGCAACTTGACGGCGAAGAGTGTTGTGTGCCAAACCCTTGTCCAACCCCTCCTGCAAAAATTCAAGCAGCTGTGGTACTGTAGCTGAAGCTGCGACAATGTCGTGGGACCAGGAATCGAAGGCTGCCCAGGTGACATCATAAATGTGAGTCGTGGAAGGATGGCGTGATGCCTGTATGGTACGAATGACTTTGTCAGACAGGTTGTCTTTCCTCAGGAGTTCCCCCTCAAGGACCAGACGGCCAACTGGGATCTGGATGTACTATAGCCCCCTGGCTGAGGGAAAGCATCTCCTGAGGTATCCTCCATGGCCTGCGAGTGGAGAGACTGACAAGGTCTGCATACCAGGATCTCCTGGGCCAATGAGGTGCGATGAGAAGAACCTCTGCTCCTTCTGCCAGAATCCTCTGGATCACCTGTGGAATGAGCGGCAGTGGTGGGAAGGTGTACACGAGGCCTCTCAGCTAACGGCACCGCAGAACATCGGTCCCCTCCACTTGCGGAGTGGCATACCTTGAGAAGAACCTTGGGAGTTGAGAGTTGGCCGGACTGGCAAACAGATCGATCACTGAAAGCCCGAACCTGAGTGTGATCTGGTGGAAGGTGGTCGGATGAAGACACCATTCCGTGTTGTTGATGGTTGTCTGGCTCAGCCAGTCCGCCCTCACATTGAGAAAAACCTCTTGAGGCTGGGGCAAGGGACTAGGATCCCTAGATGGCTGTCCAGACGACAGTCTTCTGGCCCTTTCAAAGGTCTTTTCTAGAGCCCTATGTCTGCGGGCCTCAGCCTTGGATAAGGCCTTGTCACCTCTGGGGTTAGGGGTCCCCTTCCCTTTAGTGCCCTTGATCCCCTTTTGCACCTCAGGTGGATTTGGCCTACTGCGTTTCAATGTGGGTTCTGGATTGTCCTCTAGCGCCCTCTTGCTTCTTTCAGCCATGATGTCTTCATCTGTAGTCTTCAAGGCTGCAAAAGCAGTAGGCCTGGCACAGGCGCAAGTCGATAGAAGCTGCACGCCACACAGAAATGTCCTTCGGACAGGAGTATAACCAGAGGGCCAAAGCTCTCCCCCGACACTTGCTGTAGGTCTTCTTGGGGGAGGAAGCCTTGCCGGCACCCCGAACTAAGGCTAAAAAACTAAAAAGAGTGAAAGTGAAAGCGTGGTAGCTGCAACGGCTGGAGCTCGAAAGCGCGCCAAAACTGCTTCAAAGTGACTGCTTCGGGCGATAAGGGAGCTGCCAGACGCAATCCGGAGACTCCGCCAAGATCTCCGGGAGATAAACAGTTAAGTGACAGCTGGGGGGGGGAGGAAGCCTCCTACCGCCCCCGCGGTCGCCAGCCGCTGCCGGACAAGCGCCCAATGAACCTTGGCTCCGTTAGCAAATGAAGAGCCAGGAATTTCCTCTCAGCAGTTTAATAGGAACCTCGTTTTAAAGAGTAATTTTTCTCCTGACTACGATGATGACAAAAATAAGAAAACCTCTAACTAGGAGAGTCCCTGTCTATTCACCCCAAAACTGAGGAACTCCCCAAAAACACATCCAAACTGGGCTGGACTGAGTATTTGAACTGGTCCTCAATGAGGAGAGGAAAATTAACTCAGTCCTTAGGTGAATAGACTGAATTTAGCCAAGGTGG